CTGTCCCTCTCCCTGTCCCTCTCCTTGCCCCTCTCCCTGTCCCTCTCCCTGTCCCTCTCCCTGTCCCTCTCCCTGTCCCGTCCCGCCGCTGTCATTCCCACCCGTGACCGCTAGGCGGCGCCAGAGCCCCGCAGCGCCTCGGGGGGCGTGGTCTCACAATACGTAGGCGTGTCCTTCCACTCATGGGCGTGACCTCACACCTATGGGCGTGGTCTCACCTCTACAGGGCGTGGCCTTCACTGTGGGCGTGGCCTCGCAGTGCCCGCGGGGGGCCGGGGCGGGAGCGGAAGTGACGCAGCGCTGTCGCCATCATGGCGGGCAAGGGGGCGTCCCGGGTCCCCGAGCGGTGAGTGCGGCCCTGCCCGGCCCTGCCCGGCCCCGACGGCCACGTCTAAGGGACAGGGGGGTTGTAGGGCCCGCGGGCCGCTGGGTCTGGGAGGGTTGGAGGGTCTCGGACCGAGGGGTTGGGAGGCTCCCGGGCCAGGGCCTGTTTGTGGGTCCCAGGCCTGGGGGTCTCTCCCCCAATTTAACCCCCCCCCACCCCCGTCCCGTTCCCGGCTCCAGGTGGACAGACTACATCCCCCTGGGCAGGAGGATACCGGGAACCCGCTTCATCGCCTTCAAGGTGCCCCTGAAGAAGGTGAGGGACCCCCCGGGCCCTGAGCGGGGGAGGAACAGCCCCGGGAAAGGGGCATTTAGGGGGGGTTCAGGGAGGGAGTTTAATGCCTGCTCTGAAACGCGGTTTCCCCTCAGAGTTTTGACAGGAATCTCTCTCCAGAGGAGAGGTTTTCCCCCCACGACCTCCTCAGGAAAATCAGGGAGAGGAAGGAGGAGCTGGGGCTGATCATCGACCTCACCTACACCCGGCGCTACTACGGGCCAGAGGTGGGTCTGGGGGGCTGGGAATGGGCAGGGTTTGCCTCCAGGAGGAGAATTCCAGGAGTGTGAGGCGCTGGAATCTCTGGCGGGGGCTGAGATGAACTATTGGAACCCCACGGGGGGTCTTTGTCCTTGCTCAGAGACCACCCTGGGGAACCAGCACGAGTTTGGGGCTGCCCTAAAGCTGGTTTTTTATGGGATCTCCTGGTTGGAAACAGCTCTGGGCGTGTGGATAATTGCTTGGAAAAGCATTCCAGCCTCTGTGTGCCCTCCCCAGGGAGCAAAGGGAGGCGGGAAAAATAACGTGAGATTTTGGTGCTGCATCAAAGGAGTGAAGCAGAGGGGTTTTAACCCAGAACTGTGTTGCTACTCTTTTGGGCTCAGTTGGAAAATCTCATTTTTTTTTGGGTTCTGGTTCATTAATTAATTTAAAAAAACCCTTTTTTCCTGGAAATGATGGGCTGTCCTTCCTTGCAGGAGCTCCCAGCCACGCTCTGCTACTCGAAGATCCTGACCATGGGGCACGAAATCCCCAGCAAACACACCATTTTCCAGTTCAAGTGTGTGGTGAAGAAGTTCCTGAATGACAACAAGGACAATGGTGAGCGTGGGTGTCCCTGCTGTCCCAGTGCTGGGGTTTTAGGGGGCAGCAGGGACTTCTTTTCCCTTCCCTTGGCCTGGGAATGTCAAGGCAGCAACTTGACATAAATAAAATTAGACACAATAAATAAATGACAGTCAGTAAGAGAAGATAAAAATAAATATTGGTAAATAAATTAAACATAATCAGGTGTAAATATGGTGATGGAATGTTGTGTGTGGCAGTTTATTGGTGTCTGATGGAGAGGTTAGTGCAGAGGGGTTTGTTCTGGGGGGGATTTTGGGGGGAAAGGGGAACTCAAACATCCTCTGCTTTGGGTGTTACAGACAAACTCATCGGGGTTCACTGCACCCATGGCTTGAACAGGACTGGCTACCTGGTGTGCAGGTGAGTTGTCCTCGTCACAGGGGGTTCAGGGGGGGGGCATTTCCAGGAGGAAACAATGCCAAGGAAACAGAGTCAGGTGATCAGTGTAATCCCAGCCCTCCACAGACTGTCACTTTTTATCCCAATTTCAGCACAGCAGATGCTGATCCCCCAGCCTGGCACCTAAATGAAAGCTCTGCCAACCTCCCAGTTCCTCCTGCTGTTTGAATCACCCCCGAGCTGTGTTTTTTTTCCTCGTTAATTGGGTGTAATTGGGGTTTTTTTGCTCAGGTACCTGATTGATGTGGAAGGCATGGAGCCCAACGCTGCCATAGAGTGTGAGTGTGGGCTCTGGGTTGGATGGGGGTGGAATTTGGGGAGTCCTGAAGGTTTGGGGTGGCTGCAGGGAGGGCAGCTGTGCTTGGTTGAAGGGGTTAAAATCCTTGTGAAGCCCCAAAAGTTGTGACTCAGACCTGTCCTGTCCCCATCTCTGCAGTGTTCAACAAATCCCGAGGGCATCCCATAGAGAGAACCAACTACATCCAGGATCTCAGGAACAGAGCTGGGAAAAAGTGAGTCCTGGTGTGTCCAGAA